AAAGATCACACATAGCACATAACTGAGTGAATGTATCTATTCTCTCACTTGCTTTGAAGAGATATATATCATAGGTGTGTTAAATTCTCTAAGCCGTCTTTCTTAATTATGCAATATTCAACATCCACTTTCTGATTCTAAGTATATATTTTTTGTTTCCATTTTCCTTTAAATGTTCTCATCGCTCACATGTTGAATCATATCTCTATTGCCTCAATTATATTCTTCACTTGTAAAGAAATTGTCAAGTATTAACGACCATATAGGAAGATTGATATTACATTGCATGTCAACACCCTTCCTTTTGATTCTAACGAAATTTTACTGTTTCGTAATGTATTGTTTAGCTTTTTATCTATTTATTTTTCAATATTTTACCCTAAGCCGGCAATAAAGTCACTAAGACGCAAGAGGTTACTGAGTGTGAGAGGATGTGAGAAAGAAAAATCTTATTAAGGAGAGAGAACAATAAAAGAATAGGAATTAAGAAGACAGGAGATAATGATTGACATTGCATTTAAATTTTTGAAGATCAAAGTTAACTGGAAAGCAAGAAGCATGAAGAAAGTTTTACAAGTGCAAGAGAAGAAACTGCTAGCATAGTACTTTCGCCTATATTTAGCCATGTCAACTATAAACTGATAAGACTGCGTTTAAATTCATAAAGTCTAGGTACCATAGATGAAAGTTCATCAGAATAATTAGCATGAAATTATTTATAGAAAAGGCTCAGAAAAGCGATATTACGGCGATGGGAAATGAACTGAAGTCGAGATGTCAGAACCAATAACATTACAGATTCTTCTTTAGATCTTATCAGTAATCTCTAAATATATAGCAGAAGCACCGGACCATATGTTGCTGTAATATTCTAAGCATGGACGAATGGTAAACTTATAAATATGCAAGATAGGGCACCTCGACGTGGGGTAATGGTTAAAAAGCTTATCATGCTAGAACAATTACAACTGAGTAGTGAGTTCGATCCTCACTGGATGCCCCATACTTTCGGCTTAGAAAATAGCTATAAATATGCAAGATAGATTCTGACGAAAGACATTGTCTAGCATGACACAGTGTACCAACTTCCATAGTAGCAGTACTAACAATGGCTTCAACAAAGTTTTTCCACTTCATGCCAACAGAAATCGTTAACCCGAGAAGACGCAACGAGTGACTCTCCTGGAGATTATCACTAATCCGGCCAATGGAAGACAGAAAGGGTCGGTTTCGTTTTTGGAGACGTTAAAATTAACAAGCCATTTCTTGCCTCAGTTAACAATAGAATGTAGGTATTTTTTTTTTTAGATCAGCTGCCAATTTGACCTTATCGAAACAATGAAACTTTCTATTAAGAGAGAAGTAAATAGTTGTATTATCAGTATAGATAAGGAGTTGAGAATTGATGCTGCCATTTAGAAGATCAGTGATGAAAATTAAGAACACAGTAGATCCAAGGATAGAACCTTGAGGGACTCTCCTGCATGAATACAAAAAGATCTAGAAGATTGGCCATTCAAGATAACTTTCATTTCACGATTTGATTAGAAAAATTGAATCAGCTAAAAAAAATCGTCTGCAAATATTATCCTTTTATTAAATAGGTTATAATGCTTTTAGAAATTCTTAACATATAATTTTCTAATTCTTAATATATAATGATATAATGTTGTAATTCTTAATATATAATGTTATAATTCTTAATATATAATCTTATAATGTTTTAATTCTTAATATATAATGTTATAATTCTTAACATGTTATAATGTTATAATTCTTAATATATAATGTTATAATTCTTAATATATAATGTTATAATGCTTTTAGAAATTCTTTTTCTGCTAGAAAGACCAAAACCTTTTTAAAAAATAAAGAAAAACTGTTAATTGATTATAACATAGAACAAAACTTTCGTTTTAACTTGTAAAATTTATTTGATGACAGTGGAGTCATGAGTTTGTAGATGTCCTAATATCTTTTCGAACTTTTGTCATATTTTCCTTCGTATGCTAAAACATTTCTCAGATAGTTAAATGTCTGCAGTTGCTTTTTTTTTGACGCCTACAATTCGTCGTTCTCATCTAAGGTTCTACTCCTCTTTCTAACCGCCATACATTCCGCCTTCTTAAATTTGATGTTTAGTCCTTTCTTCGCGCTTTCCTTTATTAACTTTTCCAGGAATTCCTGCAGTTTTCTTCCTGTGTCTATCATTACGGTGATGTCATCTGCGTATCTTATGTGGTTAAGATCGTGTCCTATAAAAATGAAGATAGAATTCACTACTCGCTTTTAACGCATAAATTAATTCACTTTCTGTACGTTTTCGCCATCATAAATTGCGTTATTTTTTAATCAGATCAACTTTCTTTAAGTCAAAATTACGGACCGACCTATTACGATAAGTGCCTAATGCGAAAAGTATTGATTTCTAAAAACCCCTTTTTGTGTTCATGTAATTTTTCATTTAAATTTTTAGATGTTTAATTAATGTATTTAATGAGACATTTCTGCAAAGTATTTTGCATCTCCTTACTTTAGGTTTAATAATACTACTGTTTGTTCTGTGCTGATTAAATCTTATTGTTTTAGAAGTTGTGACAAATTTTATATTAAAATCATATCTTTTTTAAAATTATACTCGTTATTGTGTTGGTAAATACTATTAATATTGTATTATGCATCTAGTTTAACAATGCTATTATTATTATTTTTATTTTTTTTATTTTTTTTTATTTTTTGTTTTTGTTTTTTGGTGGGTTTTAAAAACTTTCCTCTCCGCTAACCAGTTAAAGAATGAAGGAAGTGATAACCTCATGGAGACATGTTTGATTCGCTGAGTCATGCCAGAAGCCATTTTGTACAGTTATAAATCTACCATCCGTCCATCCATTAAATATTGTTGCCATAGCTGGTCAGTTGCTCCGGCTATATATATCTCGAGATTATCGTGAAAATTCAAAGCAGGGTCTGTAATATTATCGGTCATGACCTGGCATCTTGTCTTCGGTCACTTTCTCACCGCCTTTACATGGCTTCCACCTGTCTTTTCATAAATATTTGCTTAAAACACCGATTCGCGTACGATTACCAAAGTTAAGCAATGTCGAGTCTGGTCAGTACCTACATGGGTGATCACTTGCGAATACCACGTGCAGTAAATTTGGATGTGTGGGTGATGTAATGGTTAATGGCTCGGAATTGTTAATTAGAGATTCGAGTTCTAATTCCAGCTGGGTTTGTTATATTCACTTACGCGCAAGTCCCTTGGGAAAGGTATGAATCCTGCTTTTCTTCCCCCAACTATGGGTTAATTAGTAAAACTTGTATCGCTAAAAACATTGTTATCTCCAAAGAATAAAATGAAAATTGTGTACAAATTATTTAGATTTGGGCATTAAATAACCCATATAAGTGTTGATATGCTGTAATTTTTATTTGAGTTTTTGGTGGTGGGATAATTGTGTTTTTAGTGATACAAGTCTTACTAATTAACCTATAGCTGGAGGGAAGATGAAGTGGATTCATATTGTGTTTAAAAGGTATTTGAGCTTAAGTGAATATCACCAACCCCATGAGAATTTGAACTCGGCTCTCCGATTAACAAATCTGAGCAATTAACCATTAGCCCAACCCTAGATCTAAGCTTACAGCACGTGGTATTCCCAAGCGGTCAGTCATCTAGGTACTGACCAATCTCGATACATACTTTAAATAAGTCAATAATTTTACACATGCACACACATACATAAGGTTGTATATATATATATATAAATATAAACAGTATCCTTATTTGTCGACTTTTCACAAAAAAACTTAAAAATGTTTATTGACATAAATCATTATTTTAATACTAATATCCTACTAAGAAAAAATGCTTCCAGAATACACCCAAATATTTGTTTCATATTTAGTAAACCTAGTCATATACTATTTACACTGTTTACATCGTTCGGAAATGCCCTCATCTTTATTGACATATTTATGACGTTGTACCCACCGGCCTTCGTCAGGTAATATAAATAGTTACATTACCGCATCTCAGAAATATGGACAGATGGAAGGCAAATACATTGAGAAATGTAGATTGCATTGCGTCAATGACAATTAATATTTGGGTGTATTTTGGAAGCAATTTTCCTTTTATACAAGTTTGGTTGAAAACAACAAAATTTATTTATTTGAGATTTTTTGCGCTTATTTTTTTTATGATTTGGACCATTTTTGTTTTCCGAGGATTATTTGAACATAAAAGACAATACAGAAATGCCAGTATTACAAAGTTTTTGCTGAAATGAGTTTTCAAAATGGAGGGAAAATAAAATTATAGTCTCACAAAAAAACTTAGAGTTGAGAATGATAGTTAAGAAATACTATAAAGAAAATCATAGCTTATAATTATTTTTCTGTAAAACAGGCATTCAAATTTAAATGTTGCTATAGTGTCAACACAGAAACGGCAATCAGGATTTTTTTTCTAAATTGTCTTTCTTTAAAATTGGAAATAAAAACACTACAGGCAACATGTATAAAATAAAAACAGGGCAGCCAATGAAAATCTTGCTCTTCTTAAGAACTAGACTCTCATTGGCTGCCCTGTTTTTACGACCTTGTAACAGTCTAAATCTCGCTGTTATTATTATTATTATTATTATTATTATTATTATATACCTTTATGAAAATAGTTTGTTGGTGGTTAAAGTAGTCGCAGTTTACTTAACATTAATGTTCAGTTCAAAATAAATACGTAGGATGATGGCATTCATCCTGTCTATTGTCATTGACGTAATACAATCTACATTTCTCAATGTATTTGCCTTCCATCTGTCTATATTTCGGAGATGCGGTAACGTAACTATTTATATCACCTGACGAAGGCCGGTGCGTACAACGGTCGAAACGTCGTGAATATGTCAATAAAGATTAGGACATTTCCGAACGATGTAAACAGTGTAAATAGTATATGACTAGGTTTAGTAAATATGAAACATGAAAATACAAAATCAATGATGTAGAAAAAATGTCTTTATAATACGCAATCCAGATTGTGACACGAGAAAAGGCTGAGAGAAATATGAAAAGAAAGAGAGATTAAAGAAATTAGAAAGGAAGAAAGAAAGAAAAAGAAAAAAAACAGAAAGAAATAGAGAGGGGGAAAGAAAGAATGCGAGAGGTGAGAAGAAGGAAAAGAAAAAGTACAGAGAGGCAGAAAAAATGAGGATCTTGGAAAGAGAGGAGAAAGAAAGATTGAGGTAGAAGAGATGGAAACAAGGTGAAAGCTGCAGAAGTGGGAAGGGGGTAGAAGCGAAAAGGAAAAGAAGAATGAAAGAGGAGGAGAAGTTAAGAGAAGGAAAAAAAACTGACGGTGTGGCGAGAGTTTCTCTGGGAAATAAAGGAAAAGAAGGCGAAAAATGGAGGGAGTGAGTGAATTTGGGAGAGATGTTGAAGGAGATAGGGAATAAAGAAGAGAGGGAGAAGTAAATATAGGGGAGATAAGAGTAAGAAATTAGAAGAGGAGAAAAGTAGGAGAGAGAGGATAAAATCAAAGAAAGTGGGTAGAACAGAGAGAAAGATAAAGAAAAGGCTGAAGAATGAGAAGAGGAGAAGGAAGAGAGAAGAAGAGAAAAAGAAAGAGATGTATAGAAAAGGAAAGGAAGAAAGAAATATTGAAAAGAGAGTAAAGGAGAGAGAAAGAGGGGATATAAAAAACGGGTAGAGAGAGTAGGAAAGACGGACAGAGGAAATATAAGCAGATAGGGAGAAAGGAGTATTTTGGAGAAGTAAAACTGGTACTAAATATAAGAACCTAAAGACTATTTAATGGTGGGCATGTAAAATACTAATTCTGATGACTTTATAGTTTAACATCGCGCGCGAATTTAAAGAACAATACAGAAATGCCAGTATTACAAAAGTTTGCTGAAATGAGTTTTCAAAATGGAGGGGAAAATAAAATTATAGTCACGCAAAAAAAACTTGTAAATTGAGAATGATAGAAATATTATAAACAAAATCATAACTTATAATTATTTTTCTGTAAAACAGGCATTCAAATTTAAATGTTGCTATAGTGTCAACACAGAAACGGCAATCAGGATTTTTTTTTTCTAAATTGTCTTTCTTTAAAAGTGGAAATAAAAACACTACAGGCAATGTGTCATTTTTTGTCGTAGGTATATATAAGACAAAAGATGTCATGGATGATTATGGAACTTTCTGTTTCGTGCAAAAATAAAAATAATAAAAATCTTTAAATCCTACAATCAACAACTAAAGGACCCAAAAAAAAAAAAAAATTGATTGAAATTTTTAAGAAAATATTCAAAAATCAAAGTTTTACACAGAAAAAATATTCTTATTATCTTTGCTAACAATAAAAACAAAAATAAAATATATATTTTAAAAATCGTCTGCTTTATTCAGATTTTGGCTAGCATATTTGTTTTTTACGAATGTATATTTGTCAAGATAAAGATTTATTTGCAACATCAGATATGTCAAGAGAGTGAAGGATGGCAAATTTGGAAAAAATAGCCAGGTAAAAAGTTGCAAGTCGTATCTACTTATGAGGTGTAAATTAAAAATTCATAAAACAGGCGAGAAGTTTAGACTAAAGGCTAACTGGATGATTTATATTGTTTGACTGCACAAAGTCAAGTAATATAAATCACGATGAATCCATTAACCCTTGCGAGCAGATTAAAATAGCGAACAGTGATTAATTAAACTTTCTCATATTTATATTTTAGATTTATTTTTGTAATTATATGGTTTTAAAGTTATTCACTAAGTTTGCAATCTGTCTGTTATGCGCCATGCGTGATACACGCTTAGGCGATCATGTATCTTTCGATACATGAATGACGAGATAGATTTTTTCCCGCAGTAGGTTGCCATTTCTTTCTGTGGTAGAATATAGAAACCGGTCTGTCCTGCTATTTACCCATAACTGGAGGGAGAAGAAGAGGATTGGTACCTTTCCCATGGGTACGTAATTGTATGTAATGGATTCCTCGGCTCTCCGATTCTTCGGCCCTCTGATTCCTTAATCCGAGCCGGTAACTCTTACAGTCAGTTATGTGCCATGTGTGATACACGCTTAGGCGAACATGTGTCTTTCGATACATTGACGAAGCAGATCTTTTCTTCTCCGCAGTAGGTTGCCATTTCTTTCTGCGGTAGACCAGTTGCCATCCAAGGACCCGATATAGAACCCGGTCTGTCCTTTTATTTACCCATTGGGTTATGGAGTAGAAGAGGATTCATACCTTTTCCAAAGGTATTAACACGTAAATGAATGTAATGAATTCGACTGGAATTCGAACTCGGCTCTCCGATTCCTCAATCCGAGCCACTGTCCATTACTCCACCGTAAAGATCTTGTAAAGAAAAGGATATTTTTTAAAAATAAGTGATAATGATATTTTAGTAGATAACTGGAAAGTGTAACGATATGCGTTCAGAAGCCTAGACGTGTCTTTTCTATAAATATTTTCATGGCAACTGCCCTGACAAGCTTTTTTCTCCTGGTGCATGGGCAACGTGAGTTTAAACGTGATAATAGATCGGCATGTAGGTCCCACCCATTTACTGTTAAACTAGTTAAATATAGCCGCCACTTCTACTCTAACAATTTCTTTTCTCGCACTTCCCGCCTGCGAAATTAACCTTCTGCTTCCTTACTTCCCTGATAACTACAATCTTCAAAAATTTTAAATGCAACGTCAATCGTCATCTTCTATTTTCTTGAACCCCGTTCAGCTTTTATCCTTTATTCGCCTCCACCTTATATCCAGTCTTTTCTCTTATTTTCACTCTCTGTAATCCCCTGCGTACTGGTGGAATTCCCGCCTTGCTTAAGGTGTGTGCCCCATGTTTTCGGCATTGTGCCACAAATAAGCTATGCTTAGAAAATCCCAATAACAGCCCTAAAAGTGAAATCGGCGTGCCGAGTTCAAATTACAGGTGATTCTGTTGCATTTTTATTTTTTCATCAATGCCCTTCTGAAAGGCATGAATCCGTCTTCATCTACTACAAATAATGCGCAGTCAAGTTTGTATTTGAATTATATCTTTATGAATTTTCACCACATGGTCAGGTGATTAAAAATGGTAGACATCTTTTAAATCCCCATCAGACATGATGGGTACAATAGCTCAGACTTGGGCCAATCAGCTGATAACATACATATAACATTCTATATATATATATATATATATATATATATATATATATATATATATATATATATATATATATATATATCAAAATGTATTTTACCACTTTAATTGTTATTTTAGTGGATACACGTATTGGAGTAGATACTTCGTTAAATAGTATATTTATTTATTTATTTTTCGTCTACCAGCATGAATATTTGAAAAATCATATTAAAGAAAAGCATAAAATTCTTTTTAATTTCTTGATATTTTAATAAATAAACAGAGCATATAGTCAAACACAGTATCCACTAAAAATAGCTTTTGAAATTTTATGTATATATATATATATATATATATATATATATATATATATATATATATATATATATATATATATAATTGTAAAAAATTTATTGGTCAAACTTAGATGAAACGAGGAAACAGTTGTATTAAAATTACTCAATACACATAAATTAAATAAAAAAAAATTAATGTGTAGAGATTTGAACCTTTAGGTATCCTCAGGCGATATACGCCATATATATATATATATATATATATATATATATCAATGAAAAAAGCATTTAAGAAAGCACAAATCATATATGTCTTTCCCCTACCTGATTTTCTCAACAATAGCCACTGCTAAGTCTAAAACGAAAGGCATCATCCACTGCTGACCCTCCTTTATCGTTTACGATATGAGATTCCACCATATATATATATATATATATATATATATATATATATATATATAATCACTTTAAAAGCTTGATACTCGCATTTGAGTAGTAGACGTTCCGTTTATTTATTAAACAATATATATATATATATATATATATATTTAAAATATATATATATATTTAAAATATATATATATTTAAAATATATATATATATTTAAAATTTATATATATATATGTACATACATTAACACACGCACATATAATTTTTTATCTGTGTCCAATTTTATATTTTTTATTTACATATGCACTATCTCTGGCATTGAGCACTTTTAACCATAAATATAGTATATTTAAAATTGTATATATATATATATGACAATACACAAAAGGTATTAGTTGTTCACCGTAACAAAACGGATCACAATTTTGACAGGAATGCTACTTTGATTAAAAGATCAAATAATCCACTGAGACAAAATTGTCTAGTTCAGCCACGGTATATTTGTGTTCAGGCTTTTGCCATTATATCTTCTTACCATATATCACCATTCTTGGCAGATTTTCTATTGTCACAGTGTGGTATAGTCAGGGGAAAAGGTGATAGAGAGAAAAAGAATTTAGCTAGATTGAAGCAAAAAATGACTGAAAAAAAAATTGAAACTACCTGCGTCTCTCGTTTCGTAAACGTGGCAACATCAACAAAACCCAGTCCGAAGAAATCCGAACGGATGAAACGCGTCACAAGAAATTTTCCAGTTTGTCATATTTTTCTAAATACTGTTTGTTGATATGTAAAATTATACAAAATTGTGTATCGTTATATCATATATATATATATATATATATATATATATATATATAATAAAAAAGTAAGCACTCTAAGTAGACACTTTGTGAAGACAGATGAGAGAGAAAGTTCGGTAATAAAGATAAATATATTTCTGCTTCCAAACGACTTCTAAGCGTACAATAGGTGGAGTGAAGTAATTGTAAGCATCTGCTTTGATATATTTCTTTGGGGAAACGTCTCTTGTTCCTTGTTGTTGATGCAGAAAGCAAAAAAAAATGTTTTTTTTTTTTTAAATCAATCATAAAAAGGCGAAATCTGTCCATTTCAATGTTCCTATATTTTCAGGAGTCTGAGCCACGCCCAATATTCGGAAGCGCATTTTGGTTGTTGAGTTATATAGGGGAATTTGGTTTCCAGCCTGACGCTACATACACAGATGCACAAATGCATCTATAGTGTGCGATGGATAAATTGTCGTCTGAATTACGCGAAAATGAAAATAACACTGACATTTTAAGATAGATTTACTAAAATTACACAAAAATATCTTGAAAATCTAAAGAGTAAATTTATTTAATAAAATCGCCATTGGCTTCAACCACGGCCTCCAGACAATATCGGAACCTCCTGCAACACTTCTGGACGGTCTCCTTATTGAATTTACTGAATGTTGTCATAATCCTTGCCTTCAGTTCATCTTTGGGGTAAAAACTGGAGTTCTGTTGGTCTCTCGCTCAACTGCGTCCCACACATGTTTAGGCGGCCAGATCTAAGGGGTGATGTGGTCTGACAGACATGAGTGGGTGCTTTTCCTTGTGTCGTATGGTTCAAAGTCCTGTTGCCAGAAATAGCAAATCATTGACCCTTCTCGACCTAACTGTTTTCGCTGATAGGAAGTGGAACAAATATATTAAATCAGTTTCTCGGTTGGATTCTAGGAAAGTTCCATGCATGTGTCGTGCTAGACAATTTATCGCGCCAGAATCTATCTTACATTTTTATAATTCTACCATTCTTCCATTCAATGTATATTTCTGTCACGTCTGGTTTGGTCCTTCTGTCGTGTATTTAGAAATTCTTTGTACAACACAACGTAGAATCTATAATATTATCGATCCTAAGCCGGCATTTCGACTGCAGACAATTTTCCACTG